AGAGAGAGAGAGAGAGAGAGAGAGAGAGAGAGGCAGGCAGTCTTTTCGAGGGTACGTCACCTCAGCGCTAATGGCTTTGATAAATGTGCCCACTGGCTCATATTGGCAGGCTGATGCAAATAGTTATGCCAACATGGAGAATAATGGCGTTGCCTGCTTTCGTGGTGGAGGCGGTTTTGAAGATGAAGATGAGACCAGCACCTGCAAGGGTGCCTGTCTACTTCGCATGCTTCGCTATCATGTTGGAGCAAAGAAGTTCAAGGTACGTTCCTACAAACCTTAAGGCATAACAGTTACTTCGTTCGAGGAGTGAGAACAGGGAAGTGTGGAGGGCATAATAGCTTCAATGGGCATCACTCGACTACCCGACACTCTACATGCATGCATTTGGACGCTTTCTGCACCCGATGCATTCAAAATGATGAACTCGTCCGAACCTACCTGGTCAAGAAACGTCCGGCGAATGGCATTGCATGTCAAGTGTTGTGTAGTGGAGGGAGGCCCAATGTCAAGTGTTGAAGGGGGTAGCTCCCATTGCCTCCCAACAATGCCAACCTTATTATTATTGTATTCATTCCATTCCACCAACTTGAAGATTGAATTTGCATTATTGAAACCGTTACAACTATTCCTTCATCAACTTGAACAGTTTCTCACCACTGGTCCACCAGTACTTGGCCCAGCTATCGGCAGCGGGCCCCTTTCGGAGGCCGCCCACCGCCGATTCATTTTACCTACGGCGCTCGGCCTCCTAAAATTCGGGAGAGGCGCAAAACATGTTCTCTAGTTGCCTGGGGCCATGTACTGGTGGTTTAAACCACCAGTATACTCGACCCAGCTATAGGCCGCAGAGAAAAAATGGGTAGTGCCGTCATACAGAACTTCTTGGTGAACCGTAGGCAGAGAGGGAGAAGAGGACGACAAACGAGGGGTTCTAGTCGTAGGGGGAGGGGACCGGAGGGGAGGGACAGCGACTGGTCCACCCATCAAACAAGCTCCGCCCTGATGCAAATGGCGCTCAAAGACTGTTCGTAGGGAGAGGGGACTGTAGGGGAGGGACAGTGGCTGGCGCATCGAAGAAGCTGGGTCCTGATGCCGCCACCGGCTGACCTCTGGCCGGTATCGCCCACCCTCAGGCTGCTGGAGCAGTTATTGCACCTGCTGGTGGGTGCAGATCTGAGGTCCGACATGTTCCCTCCCTCGTTGTGGGCTTGAACAGGGATGTGGCTGGTACGGGGTTCGCCGTAATACTACAATGAAAAAAAAAAAATAATAATAAAAATCCTGAAGGGCATTCCCGTCCAGATTCGACAGGTAATTGAATAGGTTGGGCTTAAAACAATTAGCCTTATGGAAAAAAAAAAAAAAAAAAAAGCCCGAAAGGCCATCCTGTCCAGATTCTACAGGTCCCCTTGAAATGGTTGGGCTTATGCAATGAACGCAATGAGATGAGAGAAAGCTCGTGAATGTCGAAGTACAAGTTGGTCACAGAGTGGAATCAATGTCTCCAAAACTCGTTCGCGAAACCATACTCGTCATACTCGTAGTCTCCAAACGTTTCGAAGCCAACGAAGAGAATGAGGAATTCAAAGAGGGAGGTGGTACGGAGAGGAGTAGAAGGAGAGTTTCCTCACCAATCACCGGAGCAGAACCCCCCTCGTGCCCTCTTCCTCCTCGCGCATCCCTCCCAACTCGCCACGTCAGCAGCAAGTGGCAGCAACACATCTCTTCCCTGACTACTGTCTCTGCTACACACAATGAGCAGGTCACCGCAGGGCGCCCATGCCCATCCTCCTGCCCTGCTGATGTCAGCAGCAGCGAAGGAGGGCGGCGCAGATCTCCCTCTTGAAAGACAATCAGCTAAGCACATGCGTCATCACAGGTCGTCCAGGTAAGCTTCTCCTCCTCCCTCACACCAAGCTCACAGTCCAGATCATCCTCCTCCTGCTCGCCCTCACCCCAGTCAGTGTGGCAAACAATGTGGCAACGGCCACATCCGCATAGTAATGTTCCGAGAACTAAGGCTAGCGCGGCACGCAGAGAATGGCGCCAGCATTAAGCTCCCACAGTCTGGTGTCGTCGCACTACTAGCATGGAGCCAGCGTCAAGCCGAACGCAAAAGACGGAATGATCTGAGGCAGGGGCTGGTTCAACTAATAGCGTTGACTCACATTGACCAGCCTCTGGTCTCCTGGGTACGACGGCCGGGCGGCCCAGATCTGCCGGGAGCCAATGGCCTGGATGTCATACAGTTGCAGATTCCCCCGTGTCCCACTTGGACCGGATTCTTCTGGATACCTGCAGACAAGCAATGATGTGCATCCGATCTACGGCCGAGGCTGACCAGCAGGCTGACTTTGACTTCGACTTGTGGGCCTGGATTCCCGAGCTGGGGTTGACGGTTGACTTTCGCAGGGCCAACTGCTTAACGTAGGGCCTATGAAGGCCAGTTTTGGCCTTGCCCTGGGCACCCCTTGACATCAGGCCTTCGTCCACTGGCAGGCGTTTCCAAGACTTCAAGTTGGGGCGTGACTTTTGAGTCTTCAGCCCTGGTTCCGGCCATTTACCAAAAGTGACCACCCCTGTTTCGGGCCTTTCACCAAAAGTGACGACCCACAGCCCACGGCTAATGCAGATGTGAGCTGAGTCATTGCACTTAAAAGATTTCTGAATTAGTCCTCTTTTTATTTAAAAAAAAAAAACGACACAAACCAAATTTAAAATAAAACCTAGACTACCAGAGTGGCCCGGGGCCAAGTCCCACGTACACCGTTGAGCCAGTTCAACGTTGAACTAGATCAATGTGTGTGACCCCAGTGTCACCCCACACGGCTTCTGAAATGCATCCGGAGCGGCACATCCAGTGGTTGTTACAAAGACTTTCGGTTTTGTTTTCTGGTTCAAGAAAGGTGCTGAAAAATACCTCCGTCCGAATACAACGCCCCCTACCCTGCCCATCTTCCCTTGAACTACATACCCCGCTCTGAGTGGGGTATGGGTTCAACGGTGCTTGTGCCATCATGACCTTATGTGGGAGGACACTCTGACAGCCATGGGAGGACACTCTGACAGAGAGTGTTCATGCTGTGTTTGGCTGTGCAGCTCCGAACTCGTTTCTGTGAATGCACCAAGCCAGGAGTACTGTCTACGTTCATTTCATGCTCTAGTGAGTCCCTGTCTCCGAGGTTGCGTAGTACGAGGAGCCTTTCGCTGAGGATTGCTGTATTTTCCATTTTACTTTTTAGAAAATACGGACAAAGATTTCAGGAGCATTTGGTTATTCATTGTTTTTGGGGAAATAGGGGGATAAAAGCTTTCAGCAGCATTTGATTCTCCTTTTTTGCCTTTGTTTTGAGTTTTTAAGTCGCAAAAACCGTGTCACACTGTTGCCTTGAGCTAGTTCAACGGTGCATGTGGGACTTGGCCCCCGGGGTCACTTGCCCGGACGGGCCAAAAAAAATAGATTTTTTTTTTTTTTGTTTGATTTTATTTTTTATTTTACATTTGGTAAATAATTTCGATGCAACCCTGAGGCAAAAGTCTTTCAGTTTATGTTTTTGCATAACATAGTTTTTTTTTTCGGATGTTTTGGAGGTTTTTTTTTGTTTTTCTGTTTTTTTTGCTGGGACCTTCTCCAAGTCTGGTCCTTGGGACCCGGGCGGCCCAGCTGGTAGCCTAGAATAAAACTTTTTTTTTTTTTTTTTTTTTTGCCATGGCTGAGCGAGTGGTCCTAGGGGAAAAAAAAAAACAAAAAAAAAAAAAACAAAAGATCACCCCTATTGCCCTGTCAATGCCTGTCGTTATCACTTTTTCTCTAGTCCTATCAACGGTCAGCGGGCCTTGCTCTACTAGTAGTGAACATTAGTCTTATACACATCTAGATGTGTATAAGAGCCCTACCCCCTCCTCTACCCCCTCCTACCCACGCCTTACCCTCTTCCCTCCTCCTCCCCTTGTTTCTCACCTGTCAGTCACTCGTCTGGATGGTGGTGGTTCAATGAACAAGACAATGTGCCCACAATTGTATGAAGAAGAACGCCTTCGACATTGGTGCCGGAGCGGATAATTTCTTGGCTGTCTTTTCTCCCAGCCACTACCCTACTACCTCTCCACCCCCCACCCTACCCCCTCCTCTACCCCCTCCTACCCACGCCTTACCCTCTTCCCTCCTCCTCCCCTTGTTTCTCACCTGTCAGTCACTCGTCTGGATGGTGGTGGTTCAATGAACAAGACAATGTGCCCACAATTGTATGAAGAAGAACGCCTTCGACATTGGTGCCGGAGCGGATAATTTCTTGGCTGTCTTTTCTCCCAGCCACTACCCTACTACCTCTCCACCCTCCACCCTGCACCCTCCCCTACCCCCTCCTACCCACCCCTTACCCCCTTCCCTCCTCTCCTTGTTTCTCATCTGCCGCTCACCTGTTTGAATGGTGGTGGTTGCATGAACACAGCAATGTGCCCACAATTTTGTGAAGACGAACGCCTTCAGCAGCTTCTGGCCTGCCTTTGCTGAGATGGCAGGGGGAGAGGGTGCACACATCAAGGACTTCATGATGACATGGACCACACAGAAGGGATACCCTTTAATCAGTGTGGAGTTACTCGACAGCCACACCATCCGGATATCGCAGGTACAGTGCCAAATTTGCAAAAGTCACAAAGGTCCCATTGTGAAAGCTTAACAATTGAGTCCGATGGACTGTGTGATCCACAAGCATGACGTTAGAGCTGGCCCTCATCCATGGCATGTGAGGCCACATCCTATGACATTGTGCTGTTTGCTAACGAAAGCTCCTTCTCCTTTACTGCTCTCGTCCCTTCTTTTCTTTGTTTGTTCTTCTCTTCCTTTTGCATTTGCTTAACCCCTCCCTCCCTCCCTCCCTCCCTCCCTCCCTCCCTCCGTCTCCTTCCTTCTCCTTCCTTCCATTCCTCCTTCCTTCCTTCCTCTCTCCGTTCCTTCCTTCCATCTTTCCTCCCTCCCTTCCTTCGTTCCTCTCTTGCTTCGTTCCTACCCCAGTCTTCTGGAGTTTATTCGAAGGATGTGATCCCTCCCTTCCTCCATCCGTCCCTCTCTTGATCCCTCCCCCC